AGCCTTCAGTCATCCAGGCGGCATCAGGCGAAATGATGAAGAGGCGAAGCTGCGTCAAGAAAGCCAGATTAAATCAGGAAGTGCAACGATTACCCTTCAAAATAAAACCAATCGTCGCATTACAGAAAGGACAGATGAACACGTTTCGAATCAGAATAAATAAGAATAAAATAAATAAGTGTAATTAGAGCTACAATAAATTAATGGTAAAATATTACACGTGTTTACATATTTATTAGCTAATTTAGTGCCGCTATTCGGAAAGGATTTAATAAAATAAATAAAAAAAACCCGATCGGGAATCTTTTTTACATGTCGGCTAACTTTACGCACTCCAGAGGAGCAGAGCGGTCAAACTATCAGTAACAATTGAGATTACTTTGTAGTGGGAATACCTGCCTGGGTTGGGAATACTTTTATTTAACTTACTTTGAGGACAAGCTGGATTTAAATGTCGTTTCTCAGTGACTCCTGAGTCCCGGAGTTTGCGCTTACCTGTGGAGCAAATGTGTCAAGAGGCAAAAGCAACGGTTTCCGCTCGTGCCGTGTTGTGATGGCTAGCCGCGGTCGCTCCTCGCTAGCAGGGTAGCTAGCTGCTGTAAATGCCTGGTCGTTGCTGCAAAGACGGCGATAATTAGCTCGCAAGCGGGCTACGCTCACTCGGCTGCTAGTTTTTGTAGACAGTTCGCCATCTCTTAAGATTGCTGACAAGGCCGCTAAACGGATAATGCGTTGGATATTACAGTAAGGTGAGTGTCATACAGGCACAGTTAACCTAGTTTCACATGTTAAGTCGATAGCCTAGCAGCTGAATCTTACCGGTTAGCGGAGCGCAACGGCTCAGACTATTCCCTGGATTTAGAGTCTTTCCATCAAATGTTCCATGTTTACAAAATGTTTATGCAAGTCTTAGTTTCGGGTGGTGTCTCTGGGCGCAGTTGTTGTAGCCTGGAAGGTTAACGCCATTTGTTTTAATGTAATGTCACTGCTTCTCTGCCGCTGTTTCAATACATATAAATTCACATTTTATTAATTGTCAACCATCCCAAGTTAGCTTGCCACACCAGTACATAGCCCCCCCGTAACGCCGTGCTGGCAGCAGAAGTGCTGGTCCTGGAGTCCTCAACACATTCTTACACATTTACAAAGTGTTGTGTTGGCGATTTACATAAACCGGATTGTTTTCACATTGCTACAGCTGATGGTGAGGACAACGCATCCCTGTATCTGGGACCTTTAATGTTTAGTGGAGTTAACGTTACTTGGCGTTTAACATTAGAAATCAACGAGGCTACTCCGGAATGCCGGTTTGCTCTACTGACTGTGTCCTTTTTTCTTTGTTTTGCAGGAAAATCACCAGATGGAAATGTGTTTATTCACAGCGGATTAACGTTACTCATCATGCCTTTCGAAATTATGGAGTAATTTTTTTCACAACACCATGCGCGCCTTCAGATCAGACCTCCACCACTGCTGCAGAGGTTCCTTACATTTGGATTTAACAAGCGGTTTTTGAAGACTAGCAGCCACGACTTTTTTGTCTTCCAATGTGATTCCGGTAAAATATTAACTATGTATCCAAGCGGGCTGGATATGCTCCGATACTTATAAACATTTGCGTGAATTCGTGCGAGGGAAGCCCAAAGAAGGAGGTCCAGGGCGGGATAGGTACACAGAAACTACCCGTTCCGAAGAAACATGGCCTCGGTTTGGAAGAGACTGCAGCGTGTGGGGAAGCATGCGTCCAAATTTCAGTTCGTGGCTTCCTATCAGGAACTGATGGTGGAATGCACTAAGAAATGGTGAGTTTTTTGGGAATAACAGCTGACCACAGTGCTGTCATTTAAGCCCCATTTAAATTGTGTGTCTCTGTCTGTGCTGGAATGCAGAGCTCGTTCCTGGTGGCCATAATTCACACACAGACACACAAACACACTCAGTCTCCTTGGTGTGCAGGCATGTCTGCATGCTGGGAGGGGTCGGCTGCCTTGTGAAATGAAATTGCTATTTTTTTTCCCCCTTGTGCGCCAATGTTGAATTTGTTTGGTTTGAGTCTTGAGTAAAGAGGGTGGGGGGCAGAGAGATTTCCCTTCAACCTGAAGGGCTGGGTCCCGGCAGCCCACGCTCTCCTGAAATGTCCTTGAGCAAACCATTAAACACCTACCAGCTGTAGGGATGCTGTTGGGAATTTGATTGGACCTCTGACCTAACTTGAAGATGAAAACTATCAGAGAATTTTGAAACTATATAATGCTTAGTTGCATAATCATTCACAGTATATTGAAAATATAACCTGCTGACTGTTAAGTCACTCTTGTCAGCACAATTTTCTTAGTCTTTCTCCTGCTTGCCACAGTTTTTTTTTTTAAACAATAGCCCAGACTTTAATGTCATCCCATTCCTTCCACTTCCAATAAGATGTGACCGCTATGTTAGAAATAATGACGGCAAATGTTCACACACTGACATATAATAACAATGATAACGTACCTGTTGTTAGATTTTAAATATATATTATTGCTTTAGTGTAGCTTTTCCTGCAGTAAAGAATAAATGATATACACTTCAAGGAGGTGGAGAAGCTATGGGGGGGGGGGTTCAGAGGTGAAGATAAAGTGGAAAGAGAGGTGGATATACTGCTACTACACTTGAGCCTGCAGGTATGTGCCCTGTAATGAGTGAAAAGCGGGGGCTTGTAAAGCAAATATATTGCCTGCAGACATGGGTTCTCAAGCGGCTTGCCATAGGCGTGACTACCCCAGCCTCACAGAGCTTAGACCTGGGACAGATGCTAACGTGTTGGAGAATGGAATGAGAAAAATGTACATCTCTTCCCAGAGCAAAGGGTGGGTGGGCTCAGCACACAGTCAGTAGTACGCTTTGTTTTGCAATCTGAGCACAAATCTTTTGTTATTCAATAGAAGAAATATGTATACATAGCCATTTGTTGTTACATTATTTAGTTCTTATCAATAGTTGATGTTGTGATAACAGTTATAAAGGCATGAAATGGTTTACAAAGTACTCAGATTTTTTTTCAAATACTACTTGGCTGTAGACTACTTCATGTACAAAGTCTGTCATCATGTTAGAGTTAGATCATGACCATTTCATGTTGTCATTTGTGAGCTACTAGCCTGTGTGTGACTCTTCTTGCATCTGCCTTTACGTTCTATGTGTGTCTGATAGAGTTGTTTCAGGGTCTCTGCTTGTCTTTGAGTGAATGTTTGTGTGTACGTGTGCATGCCTGGCTCAAAGTGTGCGAGAAAGCGTTGGCGCACGGTTTCTGCCTTCCGTGGACTTCATCAGTACGGTATGTTATTGTTGCAGTGGAAACTTTCCATCTACACTGACTGGAAACAGTCCCCAGAGCTCAAATGGATCTGAAGCCTTCAGAAGTGATTTTTCAAAACCCACAGCCCTTTCATTTCTGGAATCAATAACAGGAAGATCACTTATTTTGTTTTAGTGTTCTGATGTATGTGTGACCATACATAAAGATGTGGGCGCTTTGAATGTACATTTTTTTTAAATGTAAAAGCATTTTGCACACTTGGCTGACACTCAAAGGCTCAGTAGAATAATCTCTAAAGTCAAGATACTATTGGAGACTTCAAATAATCGATAGGTGAGAAGTTAAAGGTTCTGTTCTGCTGTGTGTGTGATTCTTATGTGATATTGTTTAAATACGTGGGAAAAGTTGCACATTTTCAGAGTCTCTCCTGAAGGACGTTCAGTGTTGGACTTGGTTGTTCACATGAAAAGTGACAGAAATAGCTGAAGTTCAAGAAGTTCGGCTACGAGAGAACACAACTGTCGAAGTAGTGTTTGTTTATTAGGGGCTCAATGCAACATACCTACCTAGCTACAGATTTATGAGAGGCCAGACTGCCTACTGCTTTGTATCACCTATATTTGTGTGAACACAGCATTATCATTCACTTGCCAACCGTATCACGTCCATGTGGGATGAACTCGTGTAAGCATTCTCATCCAGCCAGAATAAAATTGATGCTTGAATCCTCAGTGATGGTCTCAGTAAATGTGACCCCTCCGTCTTTCTCTGGACAAAGCCTCACTCTATAAAGGACCCTTTTTATTGCATGGAGTTGTCAAAGGTGAACACCAACACAAAACAGAGCATTGATCTGCCAGATGACATAATAATAGATATGGTTCTTTGTGCAACCCCCACATAATGCACAATATGTTGTACAAACGTCACATAATAGGAGCATCTGGGAATATCCCCTGCGGATGGAAGATGAAATGTAAGAGTCCTGACACCCCATCAGTCAGCCATTGGGTACTGTTGGTCCGTCATTGAGCACATGTTGCCTACTCTTGCTTGTATTTTTCTTTTTATATTGCCAGTAGCCTTTGCACTAGGCGGCTGTTCAGCTAAATGAGCTCATTGACTTGTGTCAGTCTGTGAGAGGCTGTTTTCTGACTATTAGCAGATTTTCACCACTTCAGAGAAGTTTCAGCTTATTTTTCCGCCTCTACATTTTCATATTCTACAAGCTAAAGATCTTTGGGCAGTTTGCTCAACAGTATTATTTTCCTCCTTGAGATTGAAGGAAAGGATTGTCGGAGTTTCCTGTCATACTTCGTAAAGTGATTTTTGGTCTTTATCTGTTGACCCAGTTGCTGAAGTCGACTCCTCTGTGGAGCAGACGGGAGTTGGTATTCCACTCACACGCCCATTTCAGACTCCAGAATCAATTCAGACCAACCATTAAATGATTAATGAGTTCAGTGTTTGTGTGCTAGTGAAATGAAGCACCACTCGCACGGTGTTGCAGCACTGCCCCCTTTGAAACTTGATATTTAACATCTTTGATGAAAAATGAACAGTATTTTCTGTTGCCTTTCATCTGTAGCAGGTAATTATGATCACTCGGGTCAGGGCTGGATATCAAACCTCCTTGGCACATGATAAGAAGCAAGCTTTAAACTATTAGTTTGACCTCTGTAGAAGTGGATAAACTGACAGATATAATGTTAGTGTTTTATATATATATAATTAAATGTTACTTTCTGATGTTTGTGCCTCATTTTGGTGCTTACACTTGCATAACGTGTTTCTCTGATATTTGCTAATCTGTAATTCTGTTAATCTTGTTAGAACATCACTGTCTAGCTACCTCAGTGTTTGAGTAGCTTAGTGAGTTCATCACTGGATGACTGCTGTGCTTATGCCACCTGGGCGGCTGTGGCTCAGGAGGTAGAGCGGGTTGGCCGTTAATCGGAAGGTCGGCGCTTCAATCCCTGGCTCAATCCTGCGTGTCTTTGACACCCCGAATTGTGAATGGTGAATGCAGATGTAGTGTAAAAGCGCTTTGAATGGTCGAAAAGACTAGAAAGGCGCTATACAAATACAGAGCATTTACATTTACCTGGCTTGCTGTGAAGGTGACTGGCTGACTGACTCTATAATTGTCATTGGGAAAGCTATCATTATCTAACCAAACATTTAACAATCAACTAACGAGAGGAAAGTTCAGTGTCAGACTACAACAAATGACTTAAAGGACATGTTATAACAAAGTATTGAGTCATAGTATGGAATAGTCACAGGTACAAGTTGTAAAATTTAATATTTATGTAGGATATTTCGAAACAAGACAACATAGACTAGCCTAAAAAACAGCATTATTTTTTTCCCACTCATAATGGCTGACCAGGTTCATGGAAACATGTCATTTTATTTATAAAGGCTTAAGCAAATATTATACATACATAGTGGTGTGATTGAGCAGTGCAAAGTCCACCTGTTTCAGTTGTTTAATATCTCACTCCTGCTGCTGCTACCAAGGACATGGACAATTCATTGTTCCTCTCATTCTCTCTTGCATCTTTTATAACGCTGTCCAAGGACCATATCTGGACTTTTTGCATGTTTAACACATTTACTTTTATACATTTTCATGTACATTGTTGTCTGGAAGCTATGTCATGTACTAGGTTATATCAAGCATCCAATTCTGATTTTCAGGCAGAATGTTTCAATAAGCCCTTAAACAGCCCATTCTCACCAGAAAAGCAATCTGTTTGGGTCGATTATACAGCAGATTATTATGACCCATATTTACTTAGTTTATACTTTAGTGGCTGTATGCCGGTAGCAAAGGAAGACAATGTCCGCGTAAGGAGTTAATGGAGTGGGTGGGTCAAACACAGAACCATCTCTTAGGAGCCCGAGTTTCGAGTTCCATGTGAAAGAAAGTCATTGTTGACAAAGTTTTGAGTTGAATAAAGTTACATAGGTGATTTACAGTACTTATGTCATGTGACTTACATAAATGTACTTAATTTAACCCAAACATTTTTTTTTAAACCTAACCCAGTAGTTTTGTTGCCTAAACCTAACCAAACTACGACTGTTTCATAACAATAACTACGGGTTTAATGTCATGTGATTTCTGTAACGTATTTAAGGTCTTGTACGCCTGCCGCTGGACTGGTACTTTCCAGTGGTCCTGTATGCCATTTTGGTCATAAATGTTGTTTTGGGACAATAGACCTTTTTTTTTTTTATTGCCATGTTGTGAGGAGCAACATTTCGATCATATACCCTGTGCAAAAAGTTGTCATCAGAAAGTATTGTATTCTGTTATCTTTATCTTGTCTGTGCTGTTTTTATTAGTTTCTAAAATACTTTCTCAAATAATTTTGAAGCACTTGTCCATTACTGTGTTAGGTAATGATTGTGCAATGCTTTGCTATAATATATAAGCTTGAGCAGACAAGAGAGGTGTTGTTTGAAACCCTCAGATACACTGCAGTAAGTGAGGTCCAT